CGTCGTCACGCTGAAGGTTTGTGGGCTCATATCAAACAATAGATTGATATTTTGATGCTCTTCATGTGTCACCAGTGTGTGTTGCCCTTTAGTCCAGACATTATTGTGAAAAGAGAAACAGACAAAGAAACAATCTGTTGAAAGCGTCTTGATAAATCATCACAATAGGAATGTTTTCCTGTTTTAAAGGAGTTCAGCTGTACCTGGTTGTGGTTTGTTTTGCACTGAGAGCCAGTTCCCAGGCTAATAAGAGTCGACTTGTTGAAACTACAGGTGACAGTCTGCCACAGACGCTCAGTGAAGAACCAACAGCTGATTGTGGACATGGTGTGTCAGAGCCCAAAGAGGTTTATTTAGGACTGGACCAAAGTTCTAGGGGGACACAGGCAGTGCTCAGTGGCTGCAGACTGATTTGAACTGTAATATTTTCACCCCCAGATTACAGATAATGGAAACCAGTGTTGACTTTTGCTAGGAGAGGGGATGTGAACAGCTTTGTACATCCATCCATCCCCCCCCGACCTCCTCCATCAGAGGGTTTGTGGGGCTGTAGGGATTTCAGGATACTTTCCCCTTTACTTCTGAGAGACAACAGTCATTATTACACAAACACAAGAGCTCGCTTGTCAGGACTAAAACATCCAACAATCAATACTTCTATATTGACAACAGATCAGCTCACTTTGTGTAATGGTGAAGAGTCGTGTGGTGGTGATGAACCCACAGAGAACTGTCTCCATCTCTGCAGCTCTACAGAGCTTTTCAGCCTCTTTTAGCTCCTAGTTTTGGTTCTGCAGCACATTTCCTGTTTGGTTCAGTCTCAGTGTTTCCAGCAGCAGCTGTTTTCATCCAACAAGCTGTGATGAAGCCACTGTTCACTACCTGCTCAGCAGCAAACAGCAGACAGACTCAGTTAGACTAGCTGGTGAACATAGTGGAGCATTTAGCAGCTAAAGAGACAGATGTTTCCCTCAGAAGGTGGTGGAGACCAAAAACAGAGCTACAAGAGAGAGAATAGTAGACTTCCATTCATCAGGTGACACAGACTCCTGATGAACCATCATGTTGATGTGCACACTTACACAGCAGGTTTACTCCAGCCAAAGACTTTATTTTAATTATGCAGGAGGAGACAAAGAATAAACAAAGGCAACTGTCCAGCGGATAAAAGTCACTCCCTCTTCTCCACTGGAGTCGGGAGGGAAGCTCAACCGATGCCGGGACAGGTAGCCTCCGGAGACGGGAGGGAAACTCAACCGTACTCTCACCTGGAAAAGGTCTGGAGGGACCGGACGGCGCGACTGTGTGGAGATCCGACACAGCAAAACAAAAGGCACAGGTGATCTTCCAGGGAATTGACGCTGAGCGGCAATGGGGCAGAAAACAAACAGGTTACGATCTTCACTGAATCCATGTTCAGACTTATGTGGACTGAGACCAGACTGGTAACTGGACGGACTGATGACGCGCCGGGGAAACGCCGAGGTATTTAAGCCAGCTGGCGGCGATCACCGGCATGAGCCACAGCTGAGCCTAAGGAGAGAGGCGTGGTAGTGGGTGGAACACGGGGGGTGGAAACTGTAGGCGGACACAAAAACAAAACATAAGCACATGGCCCACAATAACAAAACAGACAGGGGAAAAAACAGAGGAGCACACACTAGGACCAGACAGGGATCCTAACAAAAATAATATGAGCTGATGAATAATAAGTGCTCCATGTGAACATGAATAACAAAGCTCTGTGTATGAGAGCGATGTAATGTCCATGTCTCCATGCTGCTCTGACCCCCCTCCTCCTTTCAGGGTGGAGCCTGCTGGAGTCCGATGGTTCAGACCAGGTCTGAGGAAGTGTAAGTGTGCTTTGAGTTTGATTCATGAAAACAAAGCATCTTCAAACTGTGAAATCACTCATTCACATCTCCGATGTCATCATCAAACAAAATGATAGATTAATAACTGCAGCTGTATTGTGTCTTGTTCTCTCCATCAGATTCCTGTGAACTCACACTCGACACAAACACAGTGAACAGAAACCTCAAACTGTCTGACAACAACAGGAAGGTGACACATGTGGAGGAGGTTCAGTCATATCCTGATCATCCAGACAGATTTGACCACTGGTCTCAGCTGCTGTGTAGAACTGGTCTGACTGATCGCTGTTACTGGGAGGTCGAGTGGAGAGGAGGAGTTGATATATCAGTGAGTTACAGAGGAATCAGAAGGAGAGGAGAATGTAAAGACTGTTGGTTTGGAGAGAATGATCAGTCCTGGAGTCTGGAGTGCTCTGGTGGTGGTTACTATGTCTGTCACAATAAGACAAGAACATCCTCCTCCTCCTACTCATCCTCCTCCCTCTCCTCCCTCCCCTCTGGTAGAGTAGCAGTGTATGTGGACTGTCCTGCTGGCTCTCTGTCCTTCTACAGAGTCTCCTCTGACACACTGATCCACCTCCACACCTTCAACACCACATTCATCGAACCTCTTTATCCTGGGTTTGGGTTTGGGTTCTGGTCCAGGTTCAGGTTCTGGTCCAGGTCTGGTTCCTCAGTGTCTCTGTGTTCTCTGGAGGAGGGAGAGTCTCCTCCTGCTAGAGAAACGTTCTCTCTGCTGACCAGATAGTTGAGTCTGTACAGGATCATACACAGCTGATGTGAGTTAGTACCAACCTGATCTCTCAGTGGTTGTAGATGCAGTTGGAGCAGGTGAGGGGTACCTGAGCAGGTCTGGACTCTGGGGGGTTGAGAGCTCTCTGGGACTTGTGGTGTTGAAATAAAAATAAAGTTTTGGATGATTCTAGATAATAAAGCACATAAACACCATGTCAAAGCAAAAATGTCCAAATCCATAAAAAAAAAAAAATGAAGGATTTGTTAAATCCAGCTTCATTCTTCATGTTGTATTGTTCACTTTTACTACCAAATGAGATAATCTTGGTTTAACATACTTTGCTCTGATCTTTGTCAGTCAGCTTAGGAAACAGGATGCTGTAACCATGCTAAGTGTTTAGGAGACATCCTGACTGATGTTCGCCAGGAAGATCAGACAGGAACCTTAGAAATAAGGGTTAACTTAAAGAAATCTATCATGAACTGTAAGACTACGTAAACAGCTTCATCAATGATGTACTGATGTTTAGTGTGACCATATATGGACCAGGAGGGTAAAGATGCTCCAAGTAAAAAGGTAGAAACAGGAGGAGACAACAAAGAGTCTCTTTGACGAGGCTTATTGGTGATCTAAACTTTTGAGGTTTTTAACATTTTATCTTTTCTTTTAGTACTTTTTGCATGATCTGTTTTTGTAACCTTTAATGTTTTTAATGTATAAACCAAATAAAACTGGTTTGTATTTTGTACATTCCAACCAAAGTCCAGTGTTGCTGGTCTCTGAGGGTGTCTGCGCAGTCTCCATGAGGTCAGAGAGCTCTTCTCCTGGGAGAGGCTGACAGCACTGAATGATTGATATGAATATGAATAACAGAGCTGCTACAAGCTGAGCTTCAATGCTGTTCTTCAGTCTCATGTGATTCACTAACTTGGTTGACTCAGATAGTTTTGATGCTCTGCTGGTTTATCATGCTTGGTGTTCATGCGATTACAGGACTTAGACATAACTGTTGTGTTTTTGGTGAAGCAGTAGGGTTCAGATTGGCATCCAAAATGAGGGTGATAGGGTCAATTCAATTTATTGTGTGTAGCCCAAAATCACAGATTCTCCTCAGAAGGCTTTACAATCTGTAAACAAAAGACATCCTTTGACCTTTGACCCTCACATCAGAACAGGAAAAACTCCCCAAAAAACCCTTTAACATTGAAAGGAGGAAGAACCCTTTGAGAGAGCAACAGAGGAGTGTGATAGATGTCATGTGTACAGAATGAACAACATAACAGAGTAACAACACATTCAATGCATATGACAGAAATGATTCATATGATGAGTAGTAAGCAGAATAATGATAGAAACATTATGACTATTAGTAATAACAGCAGAAGTGGATATAGTAGAATAATAAAAGCAGTAATATATTGGCAATAGCAAGCAATGTGACTACTAATAATAAAGATAGCATCTGTGGGTGTCAGGCTGGATCACGGCAGCAGGCAAGACCAGGGTACAGATAAAACCACGATCCATGGAAACCTGTGAGGATAGAAAGAACAAAGTTACCAATGAGCATTAATGGGACATTAATTCACACACAAGGAGATAGAGAAGAGGAGAGAGGAGCTCAGTGTATCCCAGGAAGTCCCTCAACAGTCTAGTCCGATAGCAGCTTATCTAGTGGCTGGTCCAAGGCAAACCTGAGCCAGCCCTAACTATAAATCTGAGCCGGCCCTCATATATACATATATATATACATATATATACATATACATATATACATATATACATATATACATATACATATATACATATATACATATACATATATACATATATACATACATATATACATATATACATACATA